AAAAGATACTGAGATCGTCAAGTAACAGCCTCACCTCCTCTCCGAAACCTCCGCTCCAACGACTTTGGCACCCAGCGCAGAAAAAGATCTCGACCTTGGACGGGCACCCTGGCCACCTCCGACTTGCGGTACAAAACCTGGACGAAGAGCCGGCGATGTCGTCGTCATTACCTGTGTCGCTTCCTTCGCAGCCGTTGGTGGGGTGGAAGAAGCCGTTGCAGAGCGCCTAGGTAGTCGTAAAGGAGGCTGCTCCGAGGAACCGGATACCTCTTCCTTTGTCTCTCTGGGTATAGATACATCGGGAACGGGAGGTCGCCCTCGAACTGGTGCTGACGGATTTCCGCCGAGGAAAGCATTGTGCGCTGGTGGAGGTAAGGTGGCAGACCTTGTTGGAGGCGCTACTGTCGTGGAGTTGAGGCTACGAGGAGGGGGACCGCTAGCAGATGAAGTCAAAGGAGGAAATGGCTCTAGCGAAAACACGATTGGCACCGGTCCCATGCTTGCACCGAGATCAGGCTGGCACTGTGCAAAAATGGTCATTGGAGGACGGTGTAGAGTCGTTGAACTTTGTGCAAGTGAAGCGCTGCGCAGGCGATGAAGCACTGGTGCGGCAAATGTACTTGAGTTGGGCGATGGTAGAGGGTACGGGTTGCTACCAGGACCAGCATTAGGAGGACTGACATGGTGTGGCTGAGCTTGTGGGGGGCGTGCATACATCGGGCCAAGACCTTGATGACCAACAGCCTTTGGTGCATTAGGGTGCGGAAGGAAGATAGAGGAACGAGAGAATGGATGTGCGGTTCGATTCAGTGACCGTGCATGCTGGGAAGGGTCTTGTTCTGTAGGTGTCAACGGCGACGTCGGCGCATTGGACGTTGGCGGCACGCCTGAGTAGCTGGGTGTGGAAATGTGGTCTCCGCGTTCATCTGGTAGCCGCCTACAATGATCGTCGTCTATCAAAGTTGCAGTCATCTGAAATCTTGAAGTGGATACGTCCAGTGATGAAGAGTCGGTGGCGATGGGTGCAACAGATCCATCCTTGCTGTCCGTCGCAGCCCTTGACGCTAATGCCAAGGTCCCTTCTTCAGCAGGAACATTTGGACTCTCGAAAGGAGACTTCATAGCACCAGTCGGTAAATCAGCATTGTTAGGATACTGATCTACCAAGTCGCGAGTATACTCTGGTCCATCTTCTGCGTCGGCGGGCGCCCACAGCGGGCGTGGAGAAGTGGAACGTGATGGGGACAGCACTGTCATGTTTACTGTCGTTTCATTAGTTTGTTGAATGTGGTCGCCTATGACAAGAGTTCGCCCAGCCTGTGCCTCGTCGGCAGTCCCTTCCTCAACATGATCCTCTGTCGATTCGTGCATGACCTCCATTTCCATCTCCAGATGTGTATCATCCCCGCGTTCCACGTGGCCGTCATTAACTATCCGAAGACGCGATTCGACGCGCACTGGGACGCCCGTTGGCACCGCCGGGAACTGCGAACTCAAGCGATCTAGCGTCTGTGTCGAATACAAGGAAGACCGCGTGTCATCTGAAAGAGAGGGATCGAATGCCTGGGTCAACGAGTGCTCGTTTTGCTGTGAAGTGGAGGATTCTGCAGACGCTGCTGTCGAGGTCGACTCGAAACTTGGTCGCGAATACAAACTCGGGCGCTCTTCACGTGCGCTGTATTGGCTTGGCTGGTCACTTGTGACACTTCGTTGTTCGAAGCTGCGGTCTGTCGAGAAGCTCGGCCGGTCAGCAGACAAGCTGGGGCGCTCGGTAGGGAAGAGTGGAACGGGTACGGGCGGTGCACGCGAACCCTTGGAGGTGCCCGAGGTTTTTGAACCTGCGGACATCTTAGAGACGACGCTCATCCGACGCGACGCTACTGAGAACCGTTTCGAGGTCAACGAATATCGAGAGTAGCGGTAGTCATCGTATATATCGTCCCAGTAACCACCTTCCTCGTCCTCCGCTTCTTCAAGTTCTTCGTCGGCATCATGAGACGGGTTTTCGCTACCTCCGAAGTCTCCGTCGCCCTCGCCACGTGCTGGGGAAGTGGTAGTATGGGTCGTCGTTGGACCACGTGACACGGCTGTGGAGACCACAGGCGTCTGCCTTGCCCAAGGCATGGGTGTACTCCCGCTACTTCCTGATGTCATGGCACCTAGATCACCACGCACCACACCCAAGGGCACGTCCTCGTCTGAATCATCGCAACCGCCATTCAAGGATCCCATCAGCGAAAGCCCGATCCCAACTTCACCGTCCGAATTTCCATCTTCGCCGTTAACAAGTGCGTTCGAATCTTCTTTCCGACTGTTGTAGCTTAAACTAGTCTTCTTTTCTGTCTCGATGTTGCCTTGTTCAGAACTGCGGTCGTCCGGGTTCCCTGACACGTTATCGAGCCAACTTCCCGACCCCATGCCATCCTTTTCGTCTTCGGACTGGAAAGTTACGTCCCCATCGTCTTCATCTTCGTCACGTAACTTTCGGCGAAACGCGTCCAGGGTCGATAGACGAGTCGAATTACCGTCGTCGAAATCATCCACATGTCCATCTTCTTCTGACATGCCCTTCTCCGCGCCTGTCTTATGCGCTTCACCAGATGACGGTGCAGGAGGGAGTGGGCCAGTTGGCGGTGCGGATGGTGGGGGGGTTATACTCACAAGCCCACCGGTGAGGGTAACGTATAGACTTGTGGGGCCCGGTCCGTACGGGTTTGGAAGGGGAGAGGACGAATTCGATGCGCCAGATGAAACATGAACCTGAGTTCTTGACGGGAAAGTGGGAGAACGTGGAGAGGGGGAATGCGAGCCCGGAAGACCCGACGAAAGGGATAAAGCCGGTGAAAGAGATCCGGAGAGACCAAAAGAAGGTACAGGGCTCGCCGACGAAAATGACCTGGGCGGCGCAAGCGAGAGTGGACTATGGAGAGAGGGGCAAGACCCTGGCAGGCTGGGAGAAAGCGAACCTGGAATTCCGATTGATGGAGCACCCGACGAAGGCGACGGAAGTGGTGATGAACCGGAAGGCAAACTCGCCGGTGTCTGTCGCGGCGACTTGGTGAGCCTCAGTGGTGCAATTATCGGTAGGGTGGGCGAGGAATTAGGAACAGCAGCGGCAACTCCAAGACCGAACTCAGATGTGGGCGATGGGATAGTGATAGCAACGGGCTTCCCATCGTCAGCGCATAATTTCACGTCAACAGAGTCCCTAATATCGATGGAATCTGTGCCTTTAGAAGTCCGGAACGGTCGTTGTAAAAGAAACACTGGAAGAGAAATGATGGGAGCTTACCAGAAGACAATGATGCAGATGGCGGTGATGCATTGGACCCCGTGTGATCCGTCTCAACTGAACCACTGACAGAACTTGGGGCCGAGTACGCGGACACTGACGTAGCTGTTGAAACCGAACGTCTCGACCGGGTGGAATACACCGAACTTCCAGACACTGAGCCTTTGGAGCGTGGCACTTTGGCGGATTTACTGTCCTTGCTGTCTCTCTCCTCTCCACCCACTTTGAAGCTTGTGCTGGTTGCAAAAGGCCGGGCATGCAAGTTCTCAGAGCGCGTCGGTGATGGCGACCGGCAGGGCTCTCTCGAGCCCGGCCATCCTCTTGAGTGCCCATCTAAATTATTTGTTGCGTCGCCCTTTCCGAAATTTGCGAGTGCATTCCGCTCTGCGACCGCAATCGACATCCTCTCCGCCCCACTAGCAACACTTGTCCTCTTCGTTATGACAGGCTTCTTGAGTTTCCCATGGAAACGCACATCTTTGGCTGAGAAGCGACCGACGACGCCCTCGCAGTGGCCCTAAAGGCAATCGGGCGAGTCAGAGGCAAACGGACGGCGGGAAACTGTCGTGCTCAGCGTAAAACTTACTAGGTAAAACCCTTCTTCTGGAAGTTGCATCAACACGGTAATCTCGTCGTCCTGTCAGAGAAACAACTCAGTCTTTCTATCTTTACCGCCGACCGGATCAGGTGCAAGGAAGCGTTTTGGATGGGCAGCGCTGCATCAACGGGGGACCTGCATGAAGTTGTAGACTGCAATCAGGCATTACAAGATCGTACCGTAATCTCTGCATGCCACTCCTACGAGACACCGCAGAGCGAATGCAGGGTCCCAATTCCAAAACCACAACTTACAATCCTTTCCTGAGTTGGGCTGCGCCAACGAGCTCGGATGATAAAGAGGGAGAATCTCACCTTCAGAAACATCAAGTCCTCACCCATCTCCTGTGCGACGCAGTCTACAACGGCGGTGCACCTCCCAATGCCGCCCTTGGTCGCGAAACGCGTCCAACGAGCAAGATCATGGGCATTCATTGCAAAGGCAAGGCCGGCGAACGAATGTGCACAGTAACGAGGACGCGATATACGGCTGAACAACTAGGCTCGTAGCAAAGTCGGGATGTGAGGTAGTAACGAGTGCTTGACGACACTTATTTTCGAGCTGCACGCCGAGACGTTGGGCCTTCGGAACCGACACGTAGGTGAAGTCGATACGTCGCGTTTACTTGACGCTGGAAACGCGGGGGTAGAATGTGTGGTCCGTAGTGTCCTGTACTTCAAATACAACGATCGTCAATCATGGACGGACATGTGACGAGCGGGCGAAATAGGAAGACAAGGACACGCGTGCACGAGCAAGGTTGGACTGGGCAGGTACCGTGTCACTCATTGCGATCAAAGTGCCCAGACCGGTACCGACGAGTGCCTGTTCGACGACCAAAAACACGGGCCCTCTGCATTGCAAATTGACCAAAGTCACCACTCACCTCCAACCAGCCCCAAACTTCCCGCTGCCAGAACGAATGAAAAGAGAGAGAAAAAAATGTGTACTTGGCAAAAAAAGTCCAACTTCAGCATGCCTCTGCCATCAATTTTGGTCCGATCAATTTCTTTTTTGGTGTTTTTGCAGGCAATTATTATGTAACTGCCCCATTTGGCGTCCCCGGTGTGTCAGGATTAACAGAGCGCCGCCGACGTCTTGTATCGTGGTGGCCGACTAGCTCAGCTGGTTAGAGCGTCGTGCTAATAATACCTAAATGGTTTACGCGAAGGTCTTGGGTTCGATCCCCACGTTGGCCATGTTTTTGCGACGGCGAAGTATGCACCGTGGCATCATAAGAACAAGGGAGACGTGCTTGTGTGAAACGTGAATGACAGCTTTTTATAATTTTAGGACAAAATCACTCGTGTGTTTACGATTCTAGCTTACCTGCGGCCGAAGCTCGTGAGCACCGCGTGCCTCCGTTGCTCGTCACCACTTTTCTCCCTCCCACCACCATTTTTCCACTGCTCAACCTATCCCTCAGAACCCCACTGTCTTTGACTAACTTCGTCTCTTACTCAACACCTATATGTGGCCAATCCTTGGGTGGTTGGCATGTTGCGCTTGGCTAAATGGCGTCCACGCTCAGAATGGAGGCACCTTCGTGCAGGCTGGCAGTACTCTCGTCAGTGCCATGATGGTACGCCTACACCATCTATCGACACATGCATTCCAGCTCATCCACGCTTCCAGATGTTTCTTGGTAATGAAGAAAAAGTTTACATACTAGACAAGTCGGAAGGCAACGCAGCACAAATCAACGGGCACCCCGCCTGGGGTTCAGTCTGGTCCGTCCCCGCAATCGCCCCGCTCACTCCAGCGTTTTAGTTTACTTGTCTTACAGGGACATCAATGCCCGCCAAGCTACTGTAATGGAAGTCGTCACAAATACTTTCTGCGCATCCGGAATGCATCTTCCCAATGGTTCATGGGCCACGTTCGGAGGCAACAACGCCGTCGGAGTCGGTATGCCATCCAATATCGTCTCCAACCCTTCGTTCCATGACTGACTGGTTCACAGGTGGTGCATCACCATCTGGAAGTTATGACTCAGCCTACGGGGATTATGACGGGAGGAAGGCCATCCGTATTTTGAATCCTTGCACAGACTCGGACAATTTCTCATCTGCTCAGTGCCAGTGGTTTGACAACCCTGCGGTTCTTTCAATGCAAGAGAATCGCTGGTACTCTGCTGCGGAGGCACTTGCAGATGGAACGATCGTTCTCATCGGTGGTTTCACAAGCGGGGGTTACGTCAACAGGAACTACCCAAACACGGACCCAACGTACGAGGGTGGTGGTGCGCAACCCACGTACGAGTTCTACCCGAGTCGCGGTGCGGCAACCCTAATGCAATTCATGACCACCACATCCGGATTGAACTCGTACGCGCATACTTATTTAATGCCTTCAGGGAAGATGCTCGTGCAGGCAAACCTATCCACCAGTAGGTCATCATTTTTCTCTCCTTGTCGCATCTCAGTTCAGCCATTTAGTTTTGTGGGACTATAACCAAAATGTTGAGTACCCACTTCCCGACATGCCTAATGGCGTAGCTCGTGTATACCCCGCTTCCGGAGCTGTGGCCATGCTTCCCCTAGTTCCTTCCAACAATTATACCGCCACTGTCCTCTTTTGCGGTGGCTCTGACATGCCTCCAGACTATTATGGGAATTATTCCTGGCCATTCTACAACACTTGGACTTATCCAGCATCTAGCGACTGCCAACGCCTGACTGCAGAACCACCGGATGGTTCTTCCCCGGTCTATGAACAAGACGACAATCTACTGGAAGGGCGGACGATGGGTCAGTTCATCACCCTACCGGATGGTACTATGCTACTCGTAAACGGCGGTAAAAATGGAACAGCGGGTTATGCCAACCAGACGCTCTATGTCCCTTCTCTTGATCAAATGCCGTACTACCAATCTCTGGCCTCGGGACCTATCGGCACACCTGCAATTTACAACCCAAACGCTCCGCAAGGCTCCCGCTGGTCCACCGCAGGTCTTTCGACGTCCAGCATAGCCAGATTATACCACTCCTCTGCCATTCTATTACCTGATGCCTCCGTTCTGATCGCCGGTTCGAATCCAAACATCGACGTCACCCTCAACTCTCCGTATCCCACGACCTACACGGCCGAGATCTTCTACCCACCGTACTTCTCCTCTAGTGTTCGTCCCCAGGTATCAGGTGTCCCGAGTACCTTGAGTTACGGCGGAGATTATTTCAACATCAACGTATCTTCGTCGTCTTATACCGGCGTAACGGCAAACCAAGCCGCAGCAAATACGACCGTCGTGCTGTCCCGTGGTGGCTTTTCCACGCACGCGATGAACATGGGCCAGCGTCATCTCCAGCTCAACAACACGTATACAGTAAATGACGATGGTTCATACGTTCTGCATGTCTCGCAAGTCCCCCCGAATCCCAATTTGCTCACCCCCGGTCCTGTGTTGTTATTTGTGGTTGTGAATGGCATTCCGAGTAACGGGACGATGGTTATCGTGGGAACTGGGCAGGTAGAGACCCAGCCTACTTCTGCCGCCAGCCCTCTGCCTCCGAGCGTTACTGCGACTTCAGTTCCTTCTTCTTCTTCCAGTGGGAAAACAGGTGGTGCGATTGGCTTGAAGGCCGATCCTACCCTGATCTCTTACCTGTGTGGCGTGGCGGTTATTATTCTTGGGGCTTGCTAATAGGTTTGGGGCGCCGGGACAAGATGTACTTTCTTTTGAAATTCGAGTGTATCGGTTTACGATGCTTCCTAGGTTACGCAGTTATATGGAGATAGGCCACGGACACAGACACAAACCACATACTATATATCCTCCATTGGCACCATTGTTGGACTGTTTACATAAGTAGTAGTAGTATACGTGGACCTCTCTCATGTATGTAGATGTGCCTACATGATGAGTTTTTCGTAAGCTTCGACTCTTCCATCGTGTTAACATTTCATCGGTGAAATTGGGTCCATCTTATGACGCACACTTATTCACCTGACGTCACGTTGGATACTGGGCAGAATGCGTGCTCAATATCTGGCACGCGTTTGAAGGTTCGTTCTACGGGTTCGTCGTCTGAATGCTAGCACTCAATAAAGGGATCAAAAAGTGGTTTTCCAAAACGTGCTCGTAGTATGTACACGGAGGCATGGTATCGTCGTCCCGCGGGTCAGAAATTGACTCTGAATAAACTTCCGCCAGCGAACGAGGCCCTCCTAACCACCCGCGGTCAGGCGAGTCCGGGGGTTGATCTTACGTAAGACGGGTGTCTCGGATGTAAAGATCGACCCTTTTATTACTCCACGGAAGCATCGCGGACCACGACCGTCCCGCTCATATGTGAAAATGACCCAACTGACCGATTCATAGGTACTTAATTGCTCGACGTGACTGGCGAGCGCCGAGGGAAAGCGCCTCTCGCCGGTCAAGTCAGCTCTGAGCCCGCCACGCAGGCTGTACACGACCGCGATTGCATCAAAGCATGTCCAATGCGCACTCCGGACACACTCACTTTTCTCGCCGCCAAGACCCTTCTTCCTGTAATGTCTTACCCCTCGTACTCGGCATGTCCCAATGCAATCATAATTCCCCATCCTCTAACCGGTTTCCCGACATTAGTCCGCCCGATACCCAACCTACGGATACTCTCGTCTCCTCGACCTCCAGCGTTTCGGGTCAGTGGTTGCCTACTACCTACCCAGCGGCTCCGGCATACACTCCATCCTTATCCTCCAATTTCCTTGTCGACGAATTTTCCCAGCCACGTACCGCTCAATTCGTCGACATGCTGGAAACCTGTAATAGCGGGCTGCGTATTGCTTATCCCTCTCCGACCGGTCCTGCACCACATCCTTCTACTCCCTTTCTTCCGTCATATCCCAGCAATACCGTTCTCTCATCCACGTGTCACCACTCTCCCATATCACCATCCCCTCTTTCCCAAATCGCTCACTCGGCCTTAGCCATATCCAACTCGACACCAGACACTGGCATCCCCAGGCGTGCCGTCGCAGGGTCCCTGGATCCTAGCACTGGGATATTCTATAGAACTCCGGAACCCCCGCGATTGCGAACGGCACAGGCATGTGAAAAGTGTAGGGTGAGGAAGGCAAAGGTGCGTGTGACTGCATGTCGCGGTTATACGATTGGAAAACGACGCGATATATGATTAACCGACGTACAGTGCAGCGGCGAACACCCTGCTTGCCAGCGCTGTCTCTTACGGGGCCTCGCTTGCATCTATGCCCCGGAGGGGCGTATCCGTGGACCAACCAAACCAAAGGTGAAGCCGCTGACCGTGATCTCTCCCCCCGAATCTCGGCCCGCCCGTCGCAACACGAACCGATCATCTTCCAATGGTAGCTCCTCATCTACCTCTAGTCCTACTTCTAGCACGTCTGTCTCCTCCCAAAATCAGTCACTGGCATCGCCCCCCGATACAGAAACCACCCCCAAACAAACCTCTCGCCGGCGTACTGGCTCATGCTCGGACGTCATGTCAGACTATCTTCCATTTGGAGTTCTAGATGGAGACAGTCCGGCGAAAACCCGGAGGAGAAGTTTGGTTATCGATACAAGCGTTCGTTTACCCGATGAGAGTATATCTCCGTCTTCCCTGGTGCTCGGTGTATCAAAGACAAACGGGGAGGATACCAGCGAGAGAAGCAACGGTAGCCGAGATTGCTTGTGAGTACGACTGATGTTTTCCACCATTTTGGAATTATGTTGGCGTCTTTCTATTTTCTGTCTCATGCTCGATATATACGCGTAATTACGTTTCTTACAGCCCACTCACCACCCCGTTACCGATATCGGCCATCACCCCCCATACTTTGACACCCGCCAGTTCGACCGGATCACCAGCCACGCCCGGATTCCATCCACCGGTTGGCCTTGTTACCTCAGGCTCGCAGCCAGCAACGTATGCCCAACCTGACTCATCTTCCTGTTTGCCTTTGACCTCTTCGTTGTATGACGACTACTTTACCCAAGACAACGGGGAGCTCGACTTCGGGTACAATATCCCCTCGTTCGGGGCTGATCCTACGCTGCACCGACAAGGTGAATCAACACAGGCGACAGACTCAAAGACGGGAGCTACGATAGACATTGAGGGCCCTTTTGGTGAGTATTTGGATTGGACATGCTTGAAGGACGTCAGAGAACACCGGGAAGGCGATCTCAGCGACATGGAAACGTTGTTTAACGCCGCACATCAGGAAAGTCAATTTACTATGTAGCATAACC